TATTAAATGTTGTAAACATGAAATAAACTACCTGGTACCATGAGAAATACTAGCATGCTCCCATGTTTTTCTCAATCATTTCAATTTGACAGAAGAAAAAAAAGAAAATACCTTTTTCACACTTTTACAGTTGTGTCAGTCAGGTTAGCTAGCGTGATAGCACTCAGGATAGCCATGGCATTGCAGTAGTATTCACAATATTCTGTATGATAACAAGTGTGTGCCGGCTGCTAATGAGCACCACTTCACCTGCAAGCTAATTGGAGCTAATTACAGCTCCACAACCCTGGTGGCAGCACTTTTAGGAGGAGAATGACACTAGCGCTGACTCTAAACCACAGCGGCTAGATTTTGGCTAAAACTGTCACTCTTAACAAAGTAACAAACTCGTTACCAGCACTTTTCTGTAACAATTAACTTGATGAGAAGAATTACACTTTTATAGATAGCAGCAATCAACAATAACAAAAGCAACAAAAAGGCCTTTTAACAGTCCTTTAATAGATATTTCATATTGCATTCTGTTATTCACTGTAGCAAAAAATGCTGATGAATTCAATAGGGAAGCACTGAAAAGCAAACACTTTAGGTAATTGCATGCAAATGAAAATGTGTCACCGCAGTAAAGGCGGTTTAAATGCTCCAAAAACAACACAGCAACATCCTTTAAGAAAGAAACAAAACAAATCAAAGCCAGGCTGCCTATTTTAAAACAGCTTCCAGGAGCCCGCTCTCTCTTCGGCTAATGAAATATCTAAAGCACTTAGTTTCCTTTAGTTAGCACCTGCCTCCTTAGAGGCATGTTCCTCCTCTCCAAGCTAAATTACTTGGTCTCAGTGGAGCGAGACAGAGTGCGGTAACAAAGAGGAGAAGTCGAGTGTATTTTCAAAAAAGGGATGACGCGCTCGTGCTGGAGAGCTGAGGTGGCAGACAATAGTGTGCTGGCAGATCTCACAGTGAACTGAGCAGACAGGTTACAGCGTGCTACACCGGGCCTGTAAAGCCACTTTAACCACTTTCCAAATCCCTCACTTTCTCTCAGTGCTGCCGCTGGTACTAACAGCTCAAAAGTGCATCATAACCAAACCTTCCCCTACCAAAATACTCCGCAAAGGTTTGGTTTTTTTTGTTTTTGTTTTTTACAATGCCTACTCTCTGTGGAATGAATTATACATCTGCAAAACAGTCATCTGAAAGTTGGAGGTTCTGGGCGAGGGCGTGCAGTTAAAATGAGGAATTGTGAGGTGCATTTCCACGTCAGTAAAAATGCCACATCTGTATATGATTTGCATGCTTGTTCTCTTCTTCCACTCCTATGTTTAATAGACTTCCTGGCAATGCAGGACTCAGTGGCCAAATAAAAAAACAGGATGTATGGTGACAAGTAGGGCTGCCACGATTTGTCGACTAGTCACGATTACGTCGACTATCAAAATCGTCGACGACTGATTTAATAGTCGACACGTCGTTTGAAGCTTTGTAAGATCACAAAAGACGCAGGAATAAGTGGCAGGATTTAAGAGTGTAATAACGGACTGAAACAGAAGATGGCAGCATTGCATGTACAAGGATGCCAGCTACCGTTAAACCCCGAAGAAGAAGAAGAAGCAGCTGTGTCCCAGAATTCATAGCGCAGCCCAGCTCAGTTTCCAACAATGGCGGCAGCTAGTTAGTTTTAATGTTACTCTTATTATTCTTTCTGGGTCACAAAATAAACGTTTAACATATTTTCAGGCGAGAATGTAGCTGTTTAAACCTCAAATATCTGCTCAGTTTACCAGGACACCACATATTTTCAAAAGCGCTCCGACGTTTTCGGAGACGTCTGTTACCCACTAGCTCGTTAGCGAGCCGGGGCTAGGCTCACTAGCGCCGTGAGAACACCGGACTCCCCGCAAATCGTTTTCAAACCCACCGCCGTCTTTCGCTACTCAGGTTAAATATATATGAGTCACTTAGATAAATTAAAAATGTTATTGTTTGGCTTTTTTTTAGTATTTTATTTGTTCCTGAGTAAATCAGTTTGTCTGAGATTAAAGTTATAGTTTTTACACAGCTGAATAAACTTCAAGCAGACAACTGATTATCAGAAGTGTGAGATGCTCCAGAATCTACTCCGGTGTCCTGTTATAGTTTAGATAGCAAGGAGTTTATTAAACTTCACCGAAACAATCTGCAAATTTCATTAAAATTTAATAAACTATCATCTTGTCTTTATTTTTAGTTAGCACTTACCTTAAACACTTAAAGCTGTAAGCTAATGATAGTTATATAAGAGCAGATGCTGCTGGTGCAATAAGCTGTAGTTTTACGTCCAATGGATGATGATCTGATTAGTCGACTAATCGCAAAAATAATCGGTGACTAGTCGACTATCAAAATAATCGTTTGTGGCAGCCCTAGTGACAAGAGTACGAGAATTAAGTAAGTAAGCTAAAAGATCTCACAAAGCAACAAATCATGCCACCACATAATGAAAATGCTGACATACTTTTATTATCAGTCTGAAAAGAGCCATTTCTAAGGCTTTAGGACTCCAGTATTGAAGTGACTGGCCTACCAAGATTCCTCCAAGAGTCTACTGATGACTCATCAGGTCACAAAATAACACAGAACAATACTTAAAGACCTGCAGGCTTCACTTGCCTCAGTCAAGTTCAGAGTTCATGATGCTACAAGAATCACACCAGCAGTCAAACATGGTGGTAGTGTAACGGTCTTGGGCTGTTAGACTTGCCATAATTGAGGGAAACATGAATTCTGCTCTGTATCAGGAAATTCTGAAGGACAATGTCCAACCATCATTGTGCTCTGAAGGTGTTGGTTGCATTTGGGTTATCCAAGTCCACCTCTGAATAGCTCAAAAAGAAACCAAACAAAATAAGATGCTTTGGTATCACCTTAAGCAGTCTGTTAATACTTTTCAGTCTGAATTATAACAATTCTACAAAGAAGAGTGGGCCAAAGTTCCTCCAAAGCACTGTGAAACATTCACTGCCGGTTATCACAAATACTTAATTGCAGCTGTTGATGCCAAGGATGGCACAACCAGTTATTAGGTTTAGAGGGCAATTACTTATTAACATAGTGCCGCAAGGATAATAAATAAGCAAAAAAAAAAAAAAAAAAGTCAGGAAGGGTGTAAACAGTTTTTCGCAGCACTTTAACTTTAACTCTATGTAGACCAGTGTTTCCCAACCTTTTGGAGCCACTGCACATATTTCACATTAGAAAAATCACACGGCACACCACCAAACAAAAATGTCACAAAAAGGATATTGATCATTTTCCCCCTGCGCACCAGGCACAGTGGAATTGGTTTGGTTTGTCCCCAGTATACTTTTTTTGCTTTCTTTTGACCACTACTCATGCCAGGGCTTCATCTGGGTCGGAATTTTCTCCAGGATCCAGGTCAGATTGACTACGTTTTCTTTTCAAATATTTATCTATTTATTTATTACACGCTTTGTCGTCTCACTCACAGCATGACTATTATGTAATTTCTTCTTCGTCTTCTTCTGTTTTATTGGCAACCCATTTAATGAGAGCAGGTAGTTGTACTGCCCTCTAGTGGAAGAGAAAGTAATCAATCTGCCCATTACTAATCAGGTTGAACCAGATAATCTTCCACGGCACACCTGATTATTTCTCATGGCACACCTATCCACAGTGGTTGAGAAACAATTATGTAGACAAATCTAGACACGATTTAAGGTAAGATTTTTTTTTTTTTTTAATTTTAGGAGAAATCTAGTGCATATGAAGCCATGTGCTTCATTACTCCCAACTTAAAATAAGTCACTGTTGATTATGGCTCCATATATGTCTTCGACCACATTTTTGAAAGTAAAATTCTTCTGATTAATACATTGCAAAACCATATCTACCTTCTCTTCTACCTGCTCTTCATTCTACTTATTCTGCGTTCTTCTATTTTATGAGAAAAGGGACCATGATGCACGGTGGGATGGTGGTTAGCACTGTTGCCGCACAGCAAGAAGGTTCTGAATTCAATTCCACCACTAGGCCGGGGTCTTTCTGTGTGGAGTTTGCATGTTCTTATGTGGGTTCCCTCCGGGTACTCCGGCTTCCTCCCACAGTCCAAAGACACGCAGTTAGTGGGGATAGGTTAACTGATCAATCTAAATTGCCCATAGGTGTGAATGTGAGAGCGAATGGTTGTCTGTCTCTGTGTGTTAGCCCTTTAACAGACTGGCGACCTGTCCAGGGTGTACCCCGCCTCTCGCCCTATGACAGCTGGGATAAGCTCCAGCACCCCCCACGACTCTGAAAAGGATAAGTGGAAGCGAATGGCTGGATGGATAAAACTGTGCACATCTTTATAAATTGCAGTCCTCCTGATTCAACCTGGTTTAGACTTCAGCATTTAACCATAAACACTCAAGGAGTCTTTGCACATTTTTATAATTTGATCCTTCCAGTCCCATTGTATCAGGCTCCACCACAATACTATCCACAACTTTACCAAATGATCGTGATCTATCCTGGCACCATCACCAAGGGATACCATGGAAACTAAGCTTGAATTGTAACATTTTTTATTTCTTTTTATTCACACTGCAAACTGGGTAAAGACAAGCCAAACTTCCTTTCTGGTGTGTTTCAGCTGAACGAGTCTGGCTAGTGTCTTCATCTCAGCTCCCCCTGTTTCCAAGAAAGGGTTTACAATGCAAAAGTTTTGTAAAAAACAAAAACAAAAACAAAAAAAAGGCCATCAGTATTCAAAGAAAATTAAAGAATTACACAATCGGTGTTTAGACAGTGAGGGGAAATCTATAAGCAAGTGAGCTGTAACGATCAGGCCCTGGACTGGTTGTCATTACAATGATGGATTCTATTCATGTCACCCATCATCGACTCAGTTTAGAGAAAAGAAGAAACGTTCTTTTAGCTCAGCGTTTGGGGAGATATGGAATATAAATCGAATCTATTTGTTGGTGCAAATCTGTTAGCATGAAAAAGTCATGAGGGCCACTCACCGAGCACGCCGAGCCTGTAGTTCATGGTTACCACGATCACGTTGCCGTAGGCGGCGAGGACGCTGGCATCAAACATGTTTCCTGTGCCTTCCATGTAGGAGCCGCCGTGAATAAACAGCATCACCGGCTTCTTCCTGCGGTCACGGATATCTACATGCACAAACAGGGAAAAACAGAGTGTGAAAGAACAAAAAGTCAATGACTGCATTCACAGTTATGATTAGACATTGTGTTAGACCATAGTATATGGAACAAACTGCAGCGTGATGAAAACACAGCACTGGATCAGTGCTGCATTACTTCCTGCGGCTGGATGCCAACCTTTAAAAATGGGCTTGAGCTCATTTAGATTTCAGCCAATGATTCTAACAACAGGCAGTAACGAGAGGCGCCACCGTGAGAATCTTGTCAAATGTTTCCTGGTGATTAAAGCGAGAAAAAAAAGGCTTGAAGAAAATTACCAGCTACTGTAGTGCTTCACATTAGAGCCTGTCGTGCATCAGTCTTTACTTCACACTGAGGCCCAGATTGACTAAAACTGATGCAATTCCTAGCGCAGTGCAAAAGCATCTGTGTGTGCAACTGAAAATTGATGGCAGCCTGAGGCAATTAGTTTCAACAGAGAATGTCCAGATAAATTCACAGAATATCTGCACAACAGCTCTTATGATGGGGTAGCTCAGTGTGTTGGTGTCAGAGTTCACCCCAAAGAGCTCTCTGCTGCAGAGAAGAGATGTTTAACACTGTTCAAACAGCCACTCTCTAGTAAACACACTCAAAGCAATGTGGCACAACATACAGAAGGTAAAAAAGAAGGTACCAGGATGACACTAGGAAACATATCAAAGCCGGGCCCCAGAGGAGTGGAGCTGATGTCTGTATACTCCCCTCTGAAGAGCATTCAGTGCGCAATCAACACAAAATAAAAGGCCACTGGCTCTCAATATATCATGTGTGCAATAAATTTCCATAATTTCCTCATTTTATTTTGCACCTTGGAACTCGGAACCCCCATAAATGCAAATTTCAAGTCGCCTTGAGCTGCAGAGACAGCTATAGAAACCTATTTCTGGGTCAACTCCCCTGTGTGGAATCTCTAGAAGAACACAGTTTTCTTGGACGCTATCATTTTTGCACTGGCACAAATTGTTGGTGGGTCCCGCCTGGAGGTGAAAAATGGAAAGATAGCTAAAAAGTTACCCATGAAAATGTTACGCAAGAACATTAGAAAACAAAGTTTAGCTCCAGAGTTGCTTCCCGTAAAGTTTTCTGTATTTATTTTACTGAAAGTAAGTATAAATGTGCAAACTGGAGGCAGGATCTGTCTATCTGGTTGTTCAGTCTGACGTCACTAGCCGTGTCTGGGCCTAAACTCCGCTGCAGGTCCATATATCAAACGATCACTATGGCATTACTGAGAGTTGAAAAACTGTCTAAAGTCTTTCATCTTTAATAAAATGATCAGCGTTCTGCTCTACCAGGTGTAACAATTGAGTTTAACATCCAGGCATCCATGAAAACGGAATTTATGACATTTAACGGAGTTAGAAGTTAGCAGGAAGTTAGCTCGCTAGCTTCTATCTAAATACAATATAGCATGTCCTGACTGCAGGGTTTTGGAAACAAATTAAAACGTACAGCTCTGTTATCACTTCCAGCATAAATGAAGACAGAAAACTAAACAGCAGTGACGTTTGTAGGGTTACTGAAGTTGGGCTAGCTGGTATATAATGATGTGCTACGTGACCGCTAGCGACACACAGCTATGTTAGCATAATATAAACAAACAAACTTTTTTTCCACTGGATAAAAGTTAACGTGAGTGTTCTCGGTGGTCAGGAACAAATGTAATTGCATGGCAGGATGCTGTAAAAGGACCAAACTTCAGCCAGGAGAACAACTGAGATAATCCATCCACAATACGAGGTTAGTCATTCATATACTGCTGCATGGGCTGGGCTGTAGTTACATCGTAAGGTTTTAAAAACTGAGCTTAAATAAATGATTAGCGGTAATAAAAGCCGAGGGAGGTCAACAGTGATCACTGACTGTTTTAGGAGCTTTCTGAGATCAAATAGAAGAAAATACATAACATTAAACATGTTAACAACACAAAAGCCATATTAAACGCAGACTACTTTAGGCCCGGAAGTAGGATTCGTCGCGTCATCACTGAACAACCGGATTATTAGCTATAGTGATTTAAACTAAGTTGTGGGGATAGGTTAATTGCCACTAGGTGTGAGTGTGAGTGCAAATGGTTGTCTGTCCCTGTGTGTTGGCCCTGCGACAGACTGGCGACCTGTCCAGGGTGTACCCCGCCTCTCGCCCTATGACAGCTGGGATAGGCTCCAGCGACCCTGAAAAGGATAAGCGGACGCAAATGGATGGATGGATTTAAACTAGTGTTGCCTGGACAACACTAACTTAAATAATAATGCTTAAAAATGTGAAAACAAGTACTTAAAAACATATTCTCTGCAATATATTGTAAACATGAATTTCTGAGGCAAGCTGAAGGTATTCAGTTAATGTAGACCTACTGTGTTATTTATTTCCTTATTTTCTCTTATATATAATATATGATGATATATACATATAATATACTGTTACAGTGGTGGATGCTCATATTAAACAAAAAATACAAACAATGACACAGTGATTTCTCTACCACTGGCTTGAGGGCATGGCCTGCCTCCCAAACAGAACACTTCTTTGACCCCACCCACTGGATGAACTGACAGGTTGCACCAAGACCTGGTAAAAGATGAATAAAGGCTATTCTGATCCATAAAACACTTAAAGCTACTCCAGTGGAGTCTAATTATAAAAATATGAAGCTGAAAATGAGCATAACAGGTGCCCTTTAAACTCTATGGTTGCTCAGGGAAGCTATGATGATAAATTCTGGCATCCTCCACTAAGAAACTCATGCAGCTCATTTCAGAAAGCATCCAATGTCAGTCCTGAGAGTTTTCAGCATACGCCCTCTCCTGCAGCGCTGTGCGTGCACGTAGGACGGTCCCCGATGGGCCCTCGTTGGCCTTTGAACCAGTCTCCTAGCTGACTGTGAGCAGCGTCGCTCCTGCCTGCCAGGAGCCTACGGTAGCATATGGCACAGAAGACTCAGAGGAGTGGCACAGTGACAGCAGCCCCTGTTGGCTTCTGTTTGTGTGTCTGCGAGTGTGTGTGCGTGCAGGCCTGAGGATATGAGCAAACAGTAGTGGCGAATAACCACATAAATAACCACTACTGCATCTATTATAGAAGGCAGGAGAGATGGAGGGCGTGCGGCTCTCTTTGAAAGCTGCTTATATATATGTAGATGCTGTGTTAAGTACACAAACGTATGTAAGGTGGCTGCAAATGTAGCACCGTAAATCTCCAGTGATAGACTAGCGTGTCACAGACACATCCATACAGAGCTATGGAGCTAAAACCAGCGCATCAGTCAGGCAGACACACTCACACCGGCGAGAGAGAAATTCACAGGCAGTTGCAATGGAGAAGTCGCTATGGCAACTGCTCCACTTTGACTTGTTTCCGCCTCTCCTGCCTCTCCCTCTCACTTGGACAAAGTCTCATTGACTGTTGCTGTGGCAACATATTGCTGTCCTGCATGCCTAACCCCATGATGCCCTTCGCCGTGTTTCTACCTGCATGTCATTTCATTAGCAGCGAATGACCACATGCGCACCTCCTACATGCATGTTTCTGCATTCTGCTGCAGCGGCATCGAGGGACAGAATGCAGATGCACACACACACAAACCCACAAGATGCAAACACACACACACACACGCACAAAGCAGACTGTCACAGTTGACCTGTAGACTCGGCGTCCACGGATCAGTTACAGGGCGAATCGTTGTGGCACAGTGACTGATAGGACCGAGGCCCTCAAGGGTAACAAGCTCTCCTCTCTTTCTCTCTCTTTCCCTGCCTCTGGCTTTGTTGTGTTTCTACCACAACTAAAGCTTAGCGTGCGATGCCCACAGATGGGCTGGTGGTTAGCTCTCCACCCTCAGCTTCCATACTTGAACCACATGTGGGTTGAAAAAAATTCAATCATTCATCAAAGCGTGCAATCATGCTTTAAAAATACTTTTTGCATAATTTGTTTCTCTTCAGCTATTTTGTTGACAATGTGAACAGGTGCTGCACGACAACAGAATGTCCCATACCATGGAGGCAGCTGGGGAAATGGGATAGTGTCCACGTATACATACAAAGCCTCGACAAATCCTTAACGTCCATGTTTACAATGGGCAGATGGTGAATACTCTCACACAGGCATGAGCTAAAGGAGGGGCTTAAAGCTGACTCATTTGTTTTACACTAACGTTTGCATGTTCGACTAAAGGAATTAAACGGAGTAGATTTATAAACAGGTCAACACAGCCACTGTACGGGGCGACCGACTGAGGTTTACTCGCGCTTTGTTTCATGGCTTTTATGGCTTTTCAGAAGTGTGTGCTCCATCTCTGCTAAAGTATGTAAATATTTCCATTTCAACAGGGAACAAAATCATAAACTTTTTGCTCAACTGCCTTAATCTGATAACAGCTATAGGCCACAGCTGTTTAACAGCATTTGATATTTTTCATATGATTTGTAATACTTTTTCCGTATAAGCCCTCAGTGAGTTATGTAAGTAACCACCTACAGCTGGTGTATAATTCCAAATGATTATATGTGTATTTCAGACCATAGTAAAAACTTTTTCTTGCAAATATCTTTAAAAAAATAGTAATTTTCATTTAATATTTCAAGGGAAAAAAGTAAAAAGTTCCAAGTTTCTATTTTTTCCCCCTTTTTCCTCCCACAGCTGATCCACTTCATATCAAGTAAGACTTTCTGTGTTTTACTTTTAGATTATTATTAGTTTGTAGCTTTTCAACTTCACATACAAATGATTTAGCATTAGAGGGACCTTTTGCTTATTTTAACCTCTATTTTTTAATCTTAGACTCTGCTAGAGTAGAGGGCGCAGCACTCCAGCTTTCCCTCTGAAATAAAATGTATTAACAGCCTGCTCTTTTCAGGGCCTCGCTCCCTTTATGGCAGCTTTTATCTGATTGGCCTTCCCTTGGAAACAGAGGGTTTGACGGCATATGGGAGAGAGGTCTCTGCTCAACGCTTTGCTCGAAG